TCTTTAACTCTTTCGAAAATTTGTGAAGCTATCAGCCTAACAACCTGGCAGCCTAGCAGCCTGGCAGCCTAGCAGCCTGGCAGCCTAGCAGCCTAGCAGCCTGGCAGCCTAGCAGCCTGGCAGCCTGGCAGCCTAAAGAAAACTACGGATAATACAAACATGAAAACCGACGGAAATGAGTCGGTAGCACATACTTAGACTATTCTACGTATTTTTTCAGTATCGCCAACTTAATTTTTTTAAATATTGAACTTTGCTTTTTTTCTTTACTCTTCGAAATTTGTGAAGCTATCAGCCTAACAGCCTGGCAGCCTAGCAGCCTAGCAGCCTTAAGAAAACTAAGAATAGTAGAAACATGAAAACCGTCGGAAATACATTAGTAGCACTTCTTTAGATCATTCCACGCCTTTTTCAATATCGTGATCTTTATTTTTTAAGATGTTGAACTTTATCGTAACATATTTTTTTCATTCTGACGCTTCGAAATTTGAAGTTAGCAGCCTAGCAGCCTAGCAGCCTAGCAGCCTGGCAGCCTAGCAGCCTAGCAGCCTGGCAGCCTAACAGCCTAAAGAAAACTACGGATAATACAAACATGAAAACCGACGGAAATGAGTCGGTAGCACATACTTAGACTATTCCACGTCTTTTTTCAGTATCGCGAACTTTAATTTTTTTAAATATTGAAACTTTGCTTTTTTTTTTTTTTCCTCTTCGAAATTTGAGCAGCCTAGCAGCCTAGGCTGCCTGGCAGCCTAAATAAAACTAAGAATAGTACAAACATGAAAACCGTCGGAAATACATTAGCAGCACTTCTTTAGATCATTCCACGCCTTTTTCAATATCGTGATCTTTATTTTTTAAGATGTTGAACTTTATCGTAACATATTTTTTTCATTCTGACGCTTCGAAATTTGAAGTTAGCAGCCTAGCAGCCTAGCAGCCTAGCAGGCAGCCTAGCAGCCTAGCAGCCTGGCAGCCTAACAGCCTAAAGAAAAGTACGGATAATTCAAACATGAAAACCGACGGAAATGAGTCGGTAGCACATACTTAGACTATTCCACGTCTTTTTTCAGTATCGCCAACTTATCTTTTTTTAAATATTGAACTTTGCTTTTTTTCTTTACTCTTCGAAATTTGTGAAGCTATCAGCCTAACAACCTGGCAGCCTAGCAGCCTGGCAGCCTAGCAGCCTGGCAGCCTAACAGCCTATCAGCCTGGCAGCCTAGCAGCCTAGATGGCGATAAGTTGGCGATACTGAAAAAAGACGTGGAATAGTCTAAGTATGTGCTACCGACTCATTTCCGTCGGTTTTCATGTTTGTATTATCCGTAGTTTTCTTTAGGTTGCTAGGCTGCTAGGCTGCTAACTTCAAATTTCGAAGCGTCAGAATGAAAAAAATATGTTACGATAAAGTTCAACATCTTAAAAAATAAAGATCACGATATTGAAAAAGGCGTGGAATGATCTAAAGAAGTGCTACTAATGTATTTCCGACGGTTTTCATGTTTGTACTATTCTTAGTTTTCTTAAGGGCTGCTAGGCTGCCAGGCTGCTAGGCTGCTAGGCTGCCAGGCTGCTAGGCTGCCAGGCTGTTAGGCTGATAGCTCTCACAAATTTCGAAGAGTAAAGAAAAAAAAGCAAAGTTCAATATTTAAAAAAAAAATAAGTTGGCGATACTGAAAAAAGACGTGGAATAGTCTAAGTATGTGCTACCGACTCATTTCCGTCGGTTTTCATGTTTGAATTATCCGTACTTTTCTTTAGGCTGTTAGGCTGCCAGGCTGCTAGGCTGCTAGGCTGCCAGGCAGGTAGGCTGCTAACTTCAAATTTCGAAGCGTCAGAATGAAAAAAATATGTTACGATAAAGTTCAACATCTTAAAAAATAAAGATCACGATATTGAAAAGGCGTGGAATGATCTAAAGAAGTGCTGCTAATGTATTTCCGACGGTTTTCATGTTTGTACTATTCTTAGTTTTATTTAGGCTGCCAGGCTGCTAGGCTGCTAGGCTGCTCAAATTTCGAAGAGTAAAATAAAAAAAAAAGCAAAGTTCAACATTTAAAAAAATTAAGTTGGCGATACTGAAAAAAGACGTGGAATAGTCTAAGTATGTGCTATCGACTCATTTCCGTCGGTTTTCATGTTTTGTATTATCCGTAGTTTTCTTTAGGCTGCCAGGCTGCCAGGCTGCTAGGCTGCTAGGCTGCCAGGCTGCTAGGCTGCCAGGCTGCTAGGCTGCCAGGTTGTTAGGCTGATAGCTTCACAAATTTCGAAGAGTAAAGAAAAAAAGCAAAAGTTCAATATTTAAAAAAGATAAGTTGGCGATACTGAAAAAAGACGTGGAATAGTCTAAGTATGTGCTACCGACTCATTTCCGTCGGTTTTCATGTTTGAATTATCCGTACTTTTCTTTAGGCTGTTAGGCTGCCAGGCTGCTAGGCTGCTAGGCTGCTAGGCTGCCAGGCTGTTAGGCTGATAACTTCAAATTTCGAAGCGTCGGAATGAAAAAAATATGTTACGATAAAGTTCAACATCTTAAAAAATAAAGATCACGATATTGAAAAAGGCGTGGAATGATCTAAAGAAGTGCTGCTTATGTATTTCCGACGGTTTTCATGTTTGTACTATTCTCAGTTTTATTTAGGCTGCCAGGCAGCCTAGGCTGCTAGGCTGCTCAAATTTCGAAGAGGAAATTAAAAAAAAAGCAAAGTTCAATATTTAAAAAAATAAAGTTCGCGATACTGAAAAAAGACGTGGAATAGTCTAAGTATGTGCTACCGACTCATTTCCGTCGGTTTTCATGTTTGTATTATCCGTAGTTTTCTTTAGGCTGTTAGGCTGCCAGGCTGCTTGGCTGCCAGGCTGCTAGGCTGCTAGGCTGCTAGGCTGCTAACTTCAAATTTCGAAGCGTCAGAATGAAAAAAATATGTTACGATAAAGTTCAACATCTTAAAAAATAAAGATCACGATATTGAAAAAGGCGTGGAATGTTCTAAAGAAGTGCTACTAATGTATTTCAGACGGTTTTCATGTATGTACTATTCTTAGTTTTCTTTAGGCTGCTAGGCTGTTAGGCTGCTAGGCTGCCAGGCTGCTAGGCTGCTAGGCTGCCAACTTCAGGCTGCCAGGCTGCTAGGCTGCCAACTTCAGGCTGCTAGGCTGCTAGGCTGCTAGGCTGCCAACTTCACGAACATCGTAAACTGCATAGTTGTAGATATATTCAAAATTGTGTATATTTATGGCGGTTTTGTATTGATCATATACCTGTTAAAGGGATACTCAGGCAAATGAATAGAATATGGTGGCATATTTCTGTCACCAGATAACTATATAACTAACTAGTTAATTAAGAGGTTAACTAGTTAAGTAACTAGTTAACCTCTTAATTAACTAGTTAGGTATCAGGTTAACTAGTTACGTAACTAGTTAACCTCTTAATTAACTAGTTAGGTATCAGGTTAACTAGTTACGTAACTAGTTAACCTCTTAATTAACTAGTTAGGTATCAGGTTTTCTGGTGGCAGAAATATGCCACCATAATAGAAAACTATCAAATAAATCATATTACTCAAATCACGATCAAATGAAGTTATTAAAATTCCTATCATGTTTTTTATGTGTAAATACTATAAAATGTACGTTTGAAATGTAAATAAATCTACATATGTTGAACGAAATTAAGACGCAGACAAAATCAACGTATAGTTTTAAAACAAGTCATTCGACAATAAAAAAAAACCTTTAAAATTAGAAAGAAAACCAGATAATATTGATATGGTTAGACAGAAACAAAACTAAGTCGTTCATTTGACAGTTTTTTTTACGTTTCAATAGTTCACGTGAAATCTAAATGCTCTAACCTGACTGACCCATGTGGGTCAGGTTAGAAAACCAACAATTTTCTCTTCATATGGAGAAAAAAAATGTTTGCCGAGTGTATTTCTTTCTACGGCATTTATAAAATATTGGATGGAAAATTCAAATCGATGGTATGAAAATTTTGCCTGTGTCTTCTTTTAAATTCTATTAATACGACAAAAGCTATGTTTTCGATATTGGGATCTGAAAAAGAAACTTATAAAAGCATTCGAATAAACAAGTGAACGTTGGTTTGACATATTTTACATGAAACTTCAGGTAATTACATGTAACCTCCTGCTCGTTCGTGTTACACTCTAGTATGAGATTTTATCTTGATCAAGTGCCTACCAATCCGAGTACATAGATACGCAGTCATTGACAGATAATACAGAAAATTCTTACAGATAAATATTCAGGGTTCTAATATTATACATAATCTGATTCAGATCAGTTTGATTTCATACTCTTGAAATATATAATAAAGGTCAAAAGTTTAAATATTTTAAAGATACAACAGATCTCGAAAATGATGTTAAGACCTTATGAGTACCCTTTTAAAATTATCCGTATGGGCAATCACTTGTTTTCGATTGAATTCACTCTTTTGGCCCATAGGTGTTCGGCGCGTTGATTGGCCACAACCTCCTACAGCTCTCCTACTTCTTAAAACCATGTAAACTGAAGAATTTTTCATTTTAAACATATTTTAATATTTGGTATATACTGTTAATTCACTTTCCTTCATTTCCCACAAAGTATATAAAAAATGTTAGATATTCATTTAGTAAAGATATGCAACTCGCCGCTCATTTTTTCAGCACTCATCTTAATATGAACTAAATATAAATAATTCCTAATAGTATAAACAGATGCATTCGTATGGAATATTTTCATTGGTCGTGTGAAAACCTTAGACCAATGAAAATACTCCGTAAAAAATAAAGAGGAGAACACTCTGCAGAACAATTACTAGCATTGCGATCGCGTGCATCTTATAGCATCTTTCGTACTTATTAATAGATGCACGACCACAGATAATATACTGATTATTGCTTTAAAAGGATTACAAAATATAACAAGTGATACAGTTTGATAAGGATGGCGGGTAATGAACATTAAATGTTTCATTTCTGTTTCAGGGGAGTAAGATGACATTATGCTTTATCAGAATGGAACAAAAGAAATTATCAATATACATTTTCCTTTGCATGATGACACATCAAGGTATGTTTTGACTAATGAAAACATGACCCGGAGCTTGTTTTCATGTACGAAGGCCATATTTGAACTCACGAATTTTGAAACATGTAAAAGCGAGTTAAATTGTTATCAAGGGTCTTATTAGCAATATTCTCTAATTGATTTGTTGTCTGGCTTATCTATGTCATATGGGATGGGGCGAAAATCATGTGTTTAGAGACGTTATCAATCTAATTTGAGAGTAGAATTATATATTCTAACACGACCCGCATTTTTCTCTATTGAACAAAGGAGAACCGAAAGTGTGTGTTATTTAAGAAATAATATATCACAAACAGTGACTTTATCGCTCAATAACATCACTGTTTGGAGTTCGGATGCGAGGAAGTATATATCACGAGGGCGCAGCTCGAGTGATATAATGATGCGCATCCGAACGACAAACAGTGATGTTATCAAACGATAAAATCACTGATTTGGATTCTAACACGACATAAAAAATAAATGTTGCCGTACCTGATAATAAGCTTTATCATGCAACTGCCATGGTAACTGCCCGATAACACTTGCCTGATAATTATTTTTGATATCAGGTCAGTAACCTGATATCAAAAATAAGCCACGCCCATTTTAACGGACTTTTTTCAATTGCTTATATTCTCATTTTTATCAGTATGTGAATTCTTCAATGTAATCTCATACCCTTACAAGTCTTCAATCAAGATGCGATATTTATTTATTTATCATTTCGATTTCGATTTCAATTACGAATAAAATAGATAGCGAATAGTTTTAGCACCAACTACATGAAGTGACGTCATAATTTATATTGCAAATGACATCATCAATGTTCACGTCATACTATATTGTACATGTAATCATAACAAACAGGCTAGATGATTTTATTTGAGAACTTGTGAATGTTTACCTATTTCGCCGGATTATTTAATACGTGAACAAATTGTTTCGTTTTAAAAAATAAAAACGCATGTTTGTGTAGCGTGTGTTTGATTGCGATTTGACTTTTGTTTGATTGAAATTATTGTGAACTTTTGAATGTGTCAATTCAAGACAAAAAGTGCAGTAAAGTTTATAAATGTGATTCTAAGGGAATTTTTGGATCGAAGTTTAGATTAAAGGTAAGAATTTTTATCGTGTTAGGCCTACATTCTCTTTGTATCTTTTATCCGAGTCGAAAGAAAAAATGGCCGCCATTTACAAATTCTAAGTTTCAGGGGCGGAGGAATTTGTTTTCAAGAATTATTTCTTTGAAAATAATCCCCTTGTTTTACGAAATTCGCTATTTTAAAGTAGATTATTTTGTTATTTTGACAGTTTTTATGTGTTACATGATAAATAGAAAAACATGCTACTGTCTTTTGATATCAATTTTATCAGGCTCGGCTGATATGGGCAGAAAGGGCTCGGCAAGCCTCGCCCTTTCTAGCCCATATCAGCCTTGCCTGATAAAATTGATATCAAAAGACAGTAGCATGTTATTCTCTATAAGTTGCACCTGATTTGTTTCCGTACTTATTTTCAGCGCGTCGCATTTTTATTGGTTACGTCACATGTATATAATGATTACGTCATAAGTCTAAATATAGGACGTCAACAGTGACTTTGTTGCATAATTATACACACTTTCGGTTCTTCTATGTTCAATAGGGGAAATTGCGTGTCGTGTTAAAATATGCAATAAAATCACAGTTTGACGTTCTATATTTAGGCATGTAAGGTAATCATTATATACGTGACGTAACCACTAAAATTATTGACGCGCTGAAAATAAGTACGGAAACAAATCAGGAGCAATTAAGCTTAATATCAGGTACGGCAGCATTTATTTGTTGATGTGTTAGAATCGAAATAATATATCCAAATCGGTGATTTTATTGCGTGATAAAATCACTGTCGTTCGGTTGCGCATTATTATATCACTCGGGCTACGCCCTCGTGATATCATTCCTCGCATCCAAACTCCAAACTGATTTTATTGAGCGATGAAATCACTGTTTGGGATATATTATTTCTTAATTAAACAATGAGCGTGTTCCACAAAGTGAATTATCAAATGATCACATTAAGAGAACCATAGATACATAAGTAAGAAACATGTCCATATGACTGCTTACAATTAAATCAAAATAGTAAATTAGTTTTCATGAGGAGTGATATACATGAAGTGATATTTATCATATTTTACTACGTACAATTCCAGTATTTCATGACAATAATTTTAGATCATATTTTACATCATTTTTCCAGTATTGCATGTAGAATGCCATTGATAATAATTTTAAAATTATATTTTTACAGCGTATGCCGTATGTGACTTACACTCGCCATTTACTATCTCGGAAACAGCACCAAATGGTAGACTATATGAAATTTTAGTTCTCTTATACATTTGTATGGTCTAAAATAAGTCTTATCCATGACATGTACATAAAATAAAGTTTATTAGTTTATTTAAGTCTCATCCATTACATGAACATACAATGCAAAATGTACATTCAATAAAACTTAAAATACATGTAAACGGTATCTCTTATAATGAATAACAGGATACTTTTTGTATGTTATTACAATTAAGTATTATAATATACAATCCACATTTAAAATGTCAGTTGACCATTGTGATGTCCTATAAACTAATGTTATAATGTATGTGCGACCACCATAGTATATATGTATGTTGTATGTAATATGATACCGGGACTTCCGGAAAAACATGGAACCTTAGTAAACACGATTAAACCAGAAACATAGTTGTTATCAATTAATATCCACCATTAGGACTTATCATCTGGCGACGAGGATAAAAACAAACAAAACGGAATTACTTATATAATATTTGGATATATTTTTCATGTGTTAATTGATGGATTAAGACGTTAACCATGAACAATTTACCAGCAATTTCCAAGTTTTGATCTTGAAACGGATAAATCCAATGCAGGCACGCGTTTGGGAGAAATGGATTGGGCGCCTCGAAAATTTATTTGTGGGGGATGAAAATATCAAACGCTGACCAGAGAAGAGCATTATTACTACATTACGCCGTTTAAGAGAAAAAGTGTACGACATCTATGACGTAGAGAAAAAAGGACAGTGGCAGCGACTTACGACGCAACTAAAAAGGTACTTAGCGACTATTTTGCTCCCAGAAAGAACGTTCAAATTGAAATTTACAACTTTAGATCATACAAGCAATTAGAAGCACAAACGATTGATGAATATGTGACTGAGTTAAAGAATTTGGCAAAGAACTGTGCATTCGCAAGGACATTGACAATGAAATTTTACAACAAGTGATACAACATGGCCGCTCAAATCAACTCAGAAGAAAAGCGTTACGTGAACCAGATAAAAAACTCGATGACATTATTACAATGGGACGTATGTTTGAACAATCAGATATGCAAGCATCCGCAATGGAAAATTCAGAAAATTCTAGATCTGTACACAAGGTTTCAAAGTTCAATAGTAGAACACGAGGACGAGCGCCGATGCCTCATGGCCGTGGGAACAGTAGAGGGTCGTATGCAAATTTTGGAGGTCGTGGGAAATATGGTCCGAAGAACCAATCGAATCAACGAAGTAGACCACGTGATGGTGCGTCAGCCAACACATGCAGAAAATGTGGTTATGAGTTCCCGCACAGAGATAAGCCGTGCCCAACCACAGGTAAAACCTGCAATGTATGGAAGAAACCTAATCATTTCACGTGCTAAACGCCGAAATATCAGCATGTCAAAGAGGTCAGTGATAACACCAGCATTTCGCTACATTTCGATTCGGAAGAGGAGTACCTCTATGATATCACAGTGAAAAATGTCGGTAAACATAAAGGATCAAAAACGCCCAAACCACAGATGAAAGTCAACGAAAAAACAATTACGGCTACAATAGACACAGGATCAAGTGTGAATATACTAGATGAAACCACGTATGATTACTTAGGAAAACCTAAAATAAAAAACAAAAGGGCTGCCAAATTTACTTCCATACGGAGGGGGAAGTGCATTAAACGTAAAGGGCTGTGTGAATTTAACGGTTCTGAAAAGAACAGAAAATACACAGTAACACCATTTTATATTGTGAAAGGAAACCATGAAGCTCTATTAGGGTGTGAAACATCATGTGAATTAGAAATAATAAAAAATAAACCAAGGGATAACGGCCAATATGGAAGATAAATATCAAGGAATTTATGACGGTATTGGGAAATTAAAAGGACAAAAAGTCAAATTACACATAAACCGTGATGTAAAACCTGTAGCGCAGAGAAATCGACGTACGCCATTTCATTTAAGAAAGAAAGTTCAAAAGGAAATTGAAAAGCTACTTGAAAATGACATCATAGAAGAAGTTAAAATGAATCAACACCATGGGGTGTCACCGATTGTCACCCCACCGAAGAAAAATGGAGATGTAAGATTATGCATAGACATGAGAGAGGCAAACAAAGCTATTGAAAGAGAACGGCATCCAATGCCAACAATAGATGAACTTATACACGACATGAACGGGGCAAAAGTTTTCAGCAAACTAGATTTAAAAGCTGGATATAATCAGCTGGAATTAGATGAAGAATCGAGATCAATCACTACATTCTCTACACACATGGGCTTATACAGATATAAACGTTTGAAGTTTCGGTACTAACTCTGCAAGTGAAGTGTTTTTCAGAAAACAATCAGTTCTATCATTCAAGACATAGCTGGTGCCCAAGAATATTTCGATGATATAATAGTGTATGGAAACAGTAAAAAAGATCACGACAAGGCACTTGATCAAGTTTTCATGCATTGCATCGTAACGGGCTGACATTAAATAGAGAAAAATGTGAATTTAACAAGCTTGAAATCACATTCTTTGGAGTTGTATTCAGAGGAGACGGCATTTCACCAGATCCAGTGAAGTTCGAGCAGTGAGAGACATGCAACAGCCCACAAACGTATCTGAATTGAGGAGTTTTCTCGGAATGACATCGTATTGCTCGAGATTTATAAAGGATTATGCGACAATAACGGAACCATTGAGGCGTTTAACAAAAAAGGACACACACCTGGTCATGGGAAAATGATCAGCAAGTCGAGAAACTGAAAAGAGAATTAAGTAGTATACGGTTATCACATACTTTAGTCCATTAAAAGAAATTGAGCTAATAGTAGATGCTTCACCAGTCGGTATATCTGGGATACTCACACAGGAAGGAAAAATTATCGCGTACGCGTCTCGTGCACTGACACAGACAGAATCACGTTACTCACAAACAGAAAGAGAGGCTCTGGCAGTAGTATGGTCGTGTGAGCACTATTCGATGTACTTAAGAGGTGCTCCAACTTTCACGTGCTTCACAGATCACATGCCACTGACGAAAATATGGCAGAAGAAACAGCCACCACTACGAATTGAACGATGGGGATTTACGTCTACAACCATTTAATGTAAAAATTGAATACAGGCCTGGTAAAGGATAACCCGTCTGATTACATGTCTCGTCATCCGTTGAAATGTGACGAGCAGAGAAATATAGCGAGGAATTATGTAGCATTCGTTTTCCGCACAGGCAGTGCCAAATGCAATGACACTAGATGAAGTAAAATTAGAATCAGTCAAAGATAAAACTACAGAAAGCGATTGAATACGCAAAGAATGGAAAATGGCATGAAATGAAAACAGTGACAGATTTTAAAATCGACATGGAAGAGCTGGTGGTACTCAGAAGCGTAAAAGATGAATTGACGGTTCACAATGACACGGTCTTATTAAGAAATGACAAATTAGTGATACCGAAAACACTCCGAAATCGTGCGATAAAACTGGGACATGAAGGGCACCAGGGAATTGTTAAAACTAAAAAGCTATATACGATCAAAGGTATGGTTTCCGAACATGAATGCAGAAATTGAAACAGCAATACAAAAAATGTCTAGCCTGTCAAGCCAAACTCAAGGGAACCAAGACCGCGAGAACCACTGAAAATGTCAGATTTGCCATCTGGACCTTGGAAAATATAAGTGCAGATTTTTGTGGACCTCTAGAAAACGGTGATTACCTATTGGTTGCAGTAGATGAGTACTCGCGATATCCAATAGTGGAAATAGTAAAGAGTGTTTCAGCAAATATGGTCATACCGGTTATGGACAAAATAATTTTCAATGTTTGGTGTCCCAAAGTGATTAAAACAGATAATGGATCGCCATTTAATAGTACGGCATTTTGCGGACTTTGCAAAATTTTACGGTTTATATACACAGAAAAATCACGCCTAGGTGGCCAAGGGCTAATGCTCAGGCAGAAGCATTCAACAAACCGTTTTATGAAGAGTGTTAAATCGGCATTCATGGAGGGAAGGAATTACAAACAAGAACTGTTCAGATTTTCTCCGCCAGTACAGAGCTACACCGCACGTGTCAACTGGATTTACGCCATTTCGGCTAATGTTCGGAAGGAACCGGTAACGCGTATGCCAGACATTAATCAACACCAAAATGAGGACACGCGTGCAGACGAAATAGCACGAAGAAATGATGATGTTATCAAAAGCAAAATCAAAACAATACGAGGACCAGCGAATGCAACGCACGAGAACGAAACATTAACGTCGGAGACAGAGTTTTACTTAGAAACGAAACACCAAGAAAGTCAAGTACAATGTATAATCCAGTCCCATATAAAGTTATAAACAAAAAGGGACCAATGATAAGTGTTCGAAATGATGAAGGACATTGTGTCACCAGGAACTCATCTGTTATGAAAACAGTAGATCCAGACTTAATGGGGAATACGCCTAAACAGCACGGGGACTTTCAGGGGGAGGAACTCGCTGAAATACAAAACACGAGTTATGCGGCAAGGCCAGCACGAGATAGTCGTCCGCCCGCATATTTAAAAGATTTTGTAAGTTAGATTATTAGTTCCACAGTGAAAATGGGCATAATAAACCCAGCAGGTCACGCGATCTGCCATGCGAGTTTAATAAGTGTATACATCATGGATATATTTTATGTAATTAGATTCTCAATAGAAAAATTAATACGTAATAGCGCAATAGTAACATGACACCTTATATACGGCAACGTGATTTAAATGACAATTTTTAAAGTACATTGAAGTTCAAATATAGTGTGGACATTAACAATGCATTTAACAACAAATATTTAAGAGAAAAATAAACAAATTATCAGATTTAGAACAAAATAAATATTCATGTTTGTATAGTGTAAATGTTCGATATTGCTCATGTAGTGGATATATTTAGATACTGCAGACTATAGTAAAACTGACATAGAACTGACCTACAAACGATTGGAATGTGGTCAACAGCCATGAGTGAACATTTCTAGAGAAAAAAAGTTAGGATGAATTTTACAGTTAGATTCATTATATGTATTCCATCGTAATCAAATAATTGTGAGAATAGTTTATCATGTTTAGTAATATCAGTTTACATAACTATAATATAATATTTTCATAATTCATATCGTAATGATTTAAGCATTTTGATTGTTCAATTTAAAACTGATGTTTTATATCTAACTTGAGGAGGGATGTGATGTCCTATAAACTAATGTTATAATGTATTTGAGACCACCATAGTATATATGTATGTTGAATGTAATATGATACCGGGACTTCCGGAAAAACATGGAACCTTAGTAAACACGATTAAACCAGAAACATAGTTGTTATCAATTAATATCCACCATTAGGACTTATCAACCATTACTACATTAAAATAATCTCCACATTTCTTACATTAATTTTAAAACCTAGCACAGTAAAGTATTTTACATGGTCATATATCAACTTTGATCAGATCAAAGATGGGCAGATTAGTAATGATAATCTGTCAAGAAGCACAAATGACCCAACAAATCCAGTAAAATTAAATAAAATAAAAATATAAGTAGTTGTATGATAGATGATATTACTTAAGTATTAGGTAAGATTTTTAATTTAGTATGTGTAAAACACGATTTCACAATAACTAAATCATTAAATTCATAGGCACTGTTATTTTCAACACCACCAAACCTCCGGGAACACCTGTGTCGTTTACCATTAAAAGTCCAACACAAGGAGGTGCCGGCGCCGCATTGAGGGACAGACTTTTGTTAATTAATGGTAACACAACCTTTCAACTGATAAATACGAAAGTCCTAGATCTGGAACAGTTCATTCTCGCGGTAAGATATTTCATACTTTACCTTTACTTGACCATCTTCTTCTGAGTATTTAAGCCAAGATGGCTTGTGGGCTCCTCCTGTACTGTATTGTCAAAGAAAACTTCAATAAATGTCACTTGTATTAAATCTTTTACTTTGCCAGCTCCGGTCGAGTAGAGTTTTAAGTACCAATATGATTTTACTGAGAACAATGTTTTCGTCTAAAATATTCCACTGTTCGATGCATCTGATGGGAAATAATTGTTTCCTTCATACTTAGAAAAACATTACTTCGATTTTAACGATAATAGACCTTTATGACTGATATATTCGACAATTCTATTAGGAATTATTTGTAGTATTGGAATTTTAAAGAGACTGCTTTTCTTTCTTCCTGTTTACTTTTTTAAGTGCACACTTTTAGTAAAGAACTTTTAAAGTAAATCGAGTTAAAAATATCACAGCAGTATATTTAAAGTTTATTTTAGAAGAGGTGATATGCAAATGACGTATATAATTTTATGTAGTTCATTGCTAAGACACTGTGGCTTTATATTTTAGTATGGAGCGGATATAAGAGCTATAGAGTTTATGGTCACATGTGGAGGTAGTACTGTAAGTATTGTTTTAATATCACTACCCTCCTAGATCAAATTCATAAGTAATTCAAAGCATGAGTCTTAAATTGTTCTTTTTATGGGGAGTATCATTTAATTTGAGAATGATAATTATAAGGTGATGGAGATCCGGTTGGCAAGTGCAAGGTCTTAAAAGTGTTTCGTAATGTTTTCATTAGTTCACTTATTTCTAAAGGTTTACAGTTTCATACTTTAAGTATAGTTTAATGATGCTTTTTAAAATCATTGGTTTGATTTACTCCTAACTTATCATATACGTAACTAAATGAGATTTTAAGATTTAAAAACTACAAAAAAGTTGTTCGCATGTTTCGCTGAACTCACTTATAAAGTACAAAATGGTTTGTCAATTTTTGTCCAAAGGTTTCTTGTCTGAAACCTTGCCTTATTATAATCTTGAACATACGATAATATTGTTACGGGTAGAATATAAGCGATTAAACTATTCAGTGTCATATAATTTGTAACGTTGTTTTCTTATGGTGTCCCGTTAGGTCCAACGCGGCACAAACATAAATCGAAACGACGAAAACTCGGAAATAAGATTGTGAAAAGTTGAAATAACAAAACAACAATAGTGGTGAAAAGTCGACGGTACGATGGTGAAAAGTTGTAATAACGAAACCTAGACGATGAAAGGTCGAAAGTACGATTGTGCAATTGTACTTTCCACCTTTCACCATCACGGATTCGTTATTTCGACCTTTACCACCGTATTTTTAACCTTTCATTATAGTTTTGTCGACTTTACTATACTGTAGTTCGTAATTTTGACTTTTCACTATTGTATTTCCGAATTTTCACCATCGTGGTCTCGTTATTTCGACTTTTCAGCTTCGTATTTTGAACTTTCTACTATCGGAGTATCTCCTTCCTGTCTGGCACGCGCACAGTGATCATAACTTAAGAAAATGCTTTTACCATAGATAAAATTACAAACAAAAACTAATGTTAATGGTTTTGGATCATGGTGTTAGAATGAGGTAAATATTGTGCGTTTTGCTTTTTTTGTACGTAAACTGTTTCGGACTACCGATGACATCTTTATATAAAGTGACATGCAGGGCGTATTATTAACAGAAAGGCGAAAATACTATGGTGAAAACTAGACAGTAATATAATGAATAGTTGAAAGCACGATGATTAAAAGTCGCAAGTACGATGATGTCAAGTTAAGACCATGATGATGAATAGGCAATGGTGTAAAGTCCAAGCCACGATGACAAAAAGACGAAACGATATCGAGTTGTCACCATCGTGGTTTCGTTTTTTCGACTTTTCACTATCGTACTTTGGCTTTTATTTTATTTTTTACCACCGTAGTTCTGTTATTTCAACTTTTAATCATCATATTTTCGTGTTTCCGTTGTTTCGAGTGAAGTGAGTGTCGTAATGGCCCTAACGGGACACCACAGTTTCTGGAATAGTTTTTATGACCTCTAAACAATGAAAGGTTCCAGCTTCGAAGTTGAATCTTGTTTTGTCAGACTCTGACTAGGACACTAATCATTGTGTTTTTTTAATATTGACACTGGTATATACTTATGACATAACAGATTCACATTGAACAGTTCAATTGACATAACGGTAGAATACTTTCGATGTTTTAGGGAAATAAAACTGTTGTGCAAGAATCAGTACACTTTTATATTTGTTGTTCAAAATAAAAATAAATATTAAGTGAACAGCTCCTCGTTCCAACCACTCCGATTAAATTTTTTATGCTTGATCGATATATAGAAGAGTAAGCTCTACAACTATCGTTTTAACCTGCAACTTTATGAAGTCATACCCGCTGTACTGTCCACTGACTATTCGCAATATGAAGTGTTTTAAACCAGTTTTGGGTCAATGTTGTAAAACATCTACTTCTAGCCTACTTGTAGCGAATCTGAAATACTTCTTGTCGATGTACTCGTATAAACCATTCTTGCATGAAGACAAAAATTAATGTGTACAATAATACCTGTCTAAATAGTATTTATTACTTCTTATTGCTTTTTTAAAATAAATATTAAACATAGTTATGACTACAAAGAGTGATACTTTAAAGGCAATCAGTGACGAAATACTTTTTTTATAAGAAAATGAAAATTTAATTTTTGCTTCAGATTGAAGTGTTTGTAAACGTTGCCGCAGTGAATGAATTTCCTCCAGTTTTTAATAACGCCCAATACAACGTGACACTGAATGAGGTAAGAAGTTAATTATCTGTCGAGCGTTTTATTACCTTTTTTTGAAACATTATATTACTTACTTTATGATATATTGGAAAACTCTTTTCCATTGATGAGAGCAACTTTACCCAGTGCCTTTAGAATTCAAATGTTGGACCTTAAAATACGTATGACAGTTTTAGATGAGTGGATAAATTTCCTTGATAATTCTTTCGTATCTTAATTTTACCAAATCGTGTTGTCCAAGTTATACAATTCATTTCACTGGTCTTTAATTACAATATCATTGATACTCATTGTTTATCTATATTTTCTTATGAGATAAATTTTTCTATTTAACAATATTATTATTTTCATGTTTAGTCTCTGGCTGTGGGTTCATTAGTTTTTTCCCTGAGGTCAAAGGTTACTGATGCTGACGTCGTTGGTGCTAAAAACTACATTTTTGCCATTCAGAAGTATGAGTTTATTGACGTAAGTAACCTGAATTTTTATGTAATAATTTCTTAGACGTGGAAAACGTTACAGAATTGCCATATTTTCTATATTTCCACAATTCACGGTTTAGGTAATAAGCTTTGTATTATAAAATATGCATGAATGTGTAATAGATTGAATTCAGGTTAAAACATACATTCGAATAAAGACGTTAATAAACTTTTCTTACAGTTTGACGGTGCAGCCTATTTCAATATCCCATCACCAATGACAGGGGACATAACTCTGTCCAAGATGCTTGATTTTGATACCATGGAAAAGAGCGAACTTTTTCTCAATTTGAGTGTATCTGTAAGTTGCATATTTATACATCTCGAAAATGTAACCATATTTTTTCCACGTCTGTGGGTATAACATTTTATAAATAGGCTTTGTGTTTTACGTCTTGTGGTAGTTTTTATGGAAGACAGATAACAAACGTTTCTACCTGTATGCATGCGAATTGTTAGCCATGTAAACTATTTACAATAAATCTTACTTTTATAAGACATTGACCTACCTGTATTCAGAAGATTTAGTTGATAAAATATGCATGTGTACTTTAATTGCATTTGTTGCAAAGGCAAACTTTAATTTCTCCCTGTCACATGTATCAAAATGAAACAAAGTTTTCATATTTTAGAAAACTTGTCAAAAGCATGTCATTAACATCTTTAATACATCAAGGTTTAATTTTTTATCCATCCATTCATCCATCCATCATCCATCCATCCATCCACTTTACTTGAGGAACATAAACCGCTTTTAATGTGTCATATTAAAGGTTCAATAACCATCGCCATATGGAAACATCGGCAATTGCTTCTAAATTAAAAAGTTTACCATTACATGTTTAAGTGTTGAATACTGCTGAAGCCGGTGCTACAGTGCGTGGACAATAGCTTGCATTTTAGCGATTTTATTTCTGCTTATTTTACTGTGTGAAACAACAATGCCCAGAGCTTAGATGTTTGGCATTTGTCATTTTCCTTGTAGAACTCTACAAAACTGATTCAATCATCCCTCTTGGGCAAAGACTGGCACAAACCCAGGGATCGCTTGATTTTAGGAAAACTTATTTAAGTCTTAATTTGTGAAAACTACAAGGTCCAGATGAGCTTAGATATTTGGCATGTAGCATTGCTCAGTGGAACCCTACACATATGATATAACTTTATGTAGTTTTCTATATCCAAATTAAGTGAAATTATAAGTGATACAAAATGTATTTTCCTATTTATTTCATGGAATTTTCTTTACATGAAATATAAGATATATATTAAACATAAGATATCTAAAAAAAATCGATTCTTAAACTTAAAAGCACTTACCTTAGATATGAAGATATAGCCTCTTACACAAACAACGCTAATATTGAGACTGTGGACAAATTGGCCTTGCCTTTGGGGCACTTGCTTTATGTATACCAATTATTATCTCTTTGTGGATACTAAAATACCCATAGCTTATATAATTGGCATTAGCATTGCCTAGTAAACCACAATAAAGGTTTCGTAAATCATACACCTGATATACGTACATGCGTGCGTAAACGAAATAAACGCAGTTTCCCACTTATTGGATTGAAGCTTAAAAAAAACCCCCAAAACATTAGGATTAAGACCCAAATTTCGGCCTCTTCGCACATTGTATCAAAACGTACAATAGATATATCATGCCAAGAAATCAACAATAATTAGAAATAATACCTCATAGCTTATATGAGATTATATATTTCAACAGGATGAGCCTCCATCGAGTCCTACAGCCAAGACAACTTATACCACTTTGGAAATACACGTAGCAGATGTCGATGATCAGCCTCCATACTTTGACTACCCTGATTGTCCCCCGCCTTGTCCAGCGCCACCATATGTTTCTATAATACGCCTGGCACACAAAGTATGTATATCTATAATAAAATTAAATCGAGGGCCGTGCAAGCACATGTCAAAGGTTATCTCTTTTGTACATACACAATCAATTTTCATGTTATTTTGTTGTTATTACTGCTTCAAATGGATCACCCTCGTCCAAATTTTGATACATTTTACTGGTTTCGCCGAGTAGGCAGAAGCTCTTGTAACTCATAACGCGGTAACATCATTAATGAACCGAGGAACGACAATGACAGATAGACAATGCAAATCAACATTCAAAGAATGCAGTCCCGATAGAATCCAGTCACACTGGACTGCAGCAAAGGCAGTCAGTATGACACCAAACAAAAAGCATGAAAGGGAACATGGAGTGGTTGTACCATATATAACAATTGACAACTAAATAAAGACAACCGTAAAAATGTCAAAGGCATAAAAAACAATTTTTTAAAGCGAGTGAAAAAGCACAATTGTTTAAAATTGTCAAGAAAATATTTATTGCTCATTTATATGATCTTCATTGAATTAATTGTTTTGCAGTTTTGTATTTGACTAAAATATAATAAGAATAAAATTGGAACTAGAAATGATAAAATGTTTGCATCTAAATTGCGCTTGAACGAAATATTTTTATGTATTAACTTGTTATCTGGAATATCATATGCAAATTAAAACATTTACAAAACATTGTCAGAAACACATTTGCCTTGTTTGGTGAACTTAAAAACTTAAAAAAGATACGAATAAAATAGAAGAAATCCGATCATAATTTCCACCTGTCAAATCGCAAAATATGTACTTGACCAGTTTGTATTTCCAATACTAGTAGCTTCGTCAAATCAGAAGCTAGAAAGCTGAAACCTTAATTCGAATGGTTTAGAAACATTGCCTTAACGAATGGTCATATTAAAAAATAATACGTTAGAGTGTTGTAAATATTCATTACTCGGTAGCAATTTTGTACACCAATTTTTCTTGCTTGAATCAAGTAACCTTTGTACAGACTGCTTATGCACGATAACAAAACGCCTTATTCTAATAGATTCGTGACTTACCATCAATTTGTGAACTAAATAAATGTACAATCGCAACTTTCCGGCCTTTCCGTCAGTATTAGGCGAATCGTATTTCTCGAACGATGAGTTAGCGTCCAGCTGTCCAGCCGAGAAAGACAGTCATGGTTCACTTGCTGGTATTTTATCTGATACCATTGCAAACACTTTCAATGACGCATCGTAGCCCTTCACTCAAATGTTGAGACTTATAGATATCCTCATTTTCACACGCGGGGCGTCTGATAACGAAGGAAGTACTCTTGTTATAATAGCTATTTTTCATTATTATGTAGGGCCCTCTGTCAGTGACACCAGACTTAAAAGGGAAAATGTCCGACACTCTTGAAACTCCTCTAGTGTATTCAATTAGAGCTGGTAAGTAAGCAGTAACACTGTCATATAAAATTGTATGTCTATATTCACACTAAAGCAAAAACAATTTCGAAACTATAGATATTCGATATCACATGTAACTATAACATATTTCACAAAGGTAATCAATTTGAACCAATCGATAGATCCCTACTCTGGCCTTTTATTTGAATAACAATAGATTTAAATACAAACATTGACATGTGCTCTTTTGCTAACAAATATGTTTGGTGAATTTTTTCTCTCATAGAATCATAGTGTATTTTCAACGACGAAACTGATGCAAACTGACATGTACATACATTTAGTTTACAACTTGTCTTATTCAATATTTCAGGAAACAGGCATAATTTATTTAACATTAACCCTGCGACCGGCGCTGTGAATCAAATCAGATCAGTAAATGATGCAGGCCTACCTGACAAGGAGTTTAGACTCATCATTGAGGTAATAAACACTAAAAGGACCTCATTTTATATCAATTTACATAACTGTTGATTTATGTTGATTGTTACAATAAAATGTACAACATATTAGCAGATATTTTTTTCACCTGTTTACAAATTTTGATTTGCTGATTTCAGTCAATGGAAGAAACTATTGCACAATGTTTTTTTTCCCAAAGGCAGAGCATATTTAAATATTAATGTACATATAGATGTAATGATTAAAATTTTGATGATACGTCAAAATAGAGAAAATAAGAATCCCTAAAGAAAGTCCAACACAACATAATTGAAAATGTTGCAGGCTCGGTTTGATTGAGCCTGTTCATGGACATAACTGTAAAGTGCAAACTACCGTCCACGCCCCCTAGCACTGTCTTAAGCAGAATTCAACATTTAAACACGAAATGGTACAATTTGGAATTTAGAACACTGATTTCTTTTTATCAAAATCACACCCCCAAAATTATTTTTTTTACAGTTTCTTTTTGCAAAAAAAATCATTCTAGATAATACACGAGCAGGTTTATTCTTTAGGTTAAGAAAGACATACCGAGCAAAGATCTTTCTTCGATTGCCATATTGACAGTCAAAGTATATGAACGGATGGATATCTGATACAGATGGATGTATTATACCGCCGGCTGAAAACGCCTCAGAAGATAAAGGGTTTAACCTGACATTGTTTCTCATTGCCCTCGGCATTCTTTCAGGAAATCGCAGCATCTTCATATAGCAGTTGACATGTACGTGCGTATGTGCGTGCTCACATATGTGCCCGATGCATCTATTATGATCTTATAAATGTTTCAATTTTATTAAATGAATTTAATATCTGCCTTATTTGTATGAATATTGATGTGGAAATTCCAATATAACGGTACCATGAAAGAGGAAAGCAAGTTTTAGTACTTGTTGCGAGCTATGGATATGTTTTGTTTTTGTCGTTTCACACATACTGGGTGACAAGGACAATTTATTATGTGTTTGTATTTTTGCTATGTGATATGTTTTATTTCTCTGCATTTCACTTTGATAAAATAAAACTGGTTTGTAACAGTTAAGACCGGTAGTAAGCAATTAATATATAACAAGGAATCTGTACTATTTTTCGTTTTGTTCATTTACAGCATGAAATATAGCAAAAATAGTCTGAGATAGTTCAATTATCTACTCGTTTTGTTTTTCGCCATATTCTGAATATAATACATGTATAAACAAATATGTAAATAGTTGGTTAACCTAATAACTGTACTTTTTTGAACTTCTTGCATGATGAATAAAGAGTTAATAAAGTTTCAAGATATCTGACCCCTATCCTCTTGTCACGTGTTCAACTTTGTGTTGTTGTTTTTATTTTCTTTTGTTCATGTTGTGTATTATTATGATGGTGTAAAGTTTTATGTTATTTCACAACCAGACCCTGTGTACATACCTGTTAACTCAATGACCCCGTTTTTGCTTGCCCTTTATGTAATTCTATTTGACATATATCCTAATGGGCAATGATAATGAGGATGAAAACGCCCCATTTATTCAAACAGTAGAATTGACCGTTTTCAATAAATCATAAAATGTCTTTGTTTTTATTAAGACTGACATTTTTCCACTTTGATTTCACCATAACCACTAAAACTTCACGGTGCTGCGTGCATATTCATATCGGTACCCTTTTTGCAAAATCTGCTATAACGGTACCCTCTTTGCACGTGCACAGGACATTATCTGCTTAAAACAATACCACGGAACACTAGAATGTTTTATTTATGTGCAGATTTGTCATGTGCCCGTTTTTCAAGTTCTGCAACTTCGCAATAAGCTATAAAAAATCGACATTACCTCGACATATTTTTCGGGCTGAAATGAATATGTGGCTTGATTAGATATGCATCTTACATATTTCATATCTTCATTTATATTCTGCTTATATAGTTCTGTTATTCACAAATGTGATTAAATAAAATAGAACACATTTGTAAATTTATGTTGCTTAATCTTAGAACTGGTCAGTGGCAGGAATCGCCTGTTTTAAATAAGAACTGCCCATTAAAGCATTCATGGAATTATACTGTATGTAAAGGTCAAGGTAAACAAATCAGATTAAACTGAAATATCATTAATTTACAAAATATGCAGCTGAGAACGCCAATTTTGTACCATATTTTATAACATTTAACTAACTGGTTCGTGTTCATGTATAATGGCACAAAATACAAAAGAGACTAGTCTTGCAGCTTTTGGGTGCGTGGAAGAAAATCTAATATGCCCCTCTTTCAGTATTTCAGGAAAATCAACAGACAATTGCCAGCTTGCTGTGTAGCTTACTAACATAAGAGAATTCGATCCACTCAGGATTCGAACCAATGTGAGCTTCTAACAATCAAATTGCAGCAATATAAATATATAGCACTAGTAACGATATTACACGACATGTATTGCTGCTATCGTATCATGGAATCGAACTCGTTGTCAAATTATGCAAGCGTTTTCCCCGGTTATGGCATTGTAATACTAATGTTAACAAGGCAGCACAATACCACGATGACCCACATGAAGCACCGTTTATACTTTTCTGATATATGTGAAGTGTGATGTATAAGTTATAGAACGGTGATTGTGGTGTCCTGTTTTACATGTAGGTTCAAAAAGGTTACTCACTGGCCTATTACCTAATCAAGATTTTGCTTCAGTCTGTTGTCAATCAGTACAGTTATAGTAATTTAGTATTTTGTATGGAAGTAAAAACATTACATTGTTAAATGTTTCTGCTATTATGACAAATAACTTCACATTTAGCATTACTTTCCCTCCGCTCGGACATTAGAAAAAATAAATAAGATTCGTACTTTGCTGCTTTGTAAGTTTCATCAATTTATACTTCCGCTCATGATAGATTTTATATAATGTATTTGCACTTGTTTATTTATTCATTTGTTTATATTTATTTTTATTTATTCATTTATTTATTTATTCATTGACGAATAATTGCGGTCGAATTCCGACTACCTGTATTATAAAGTCTTATTCCATCTTTCGCGTTTCTTGCTTCTTTACGTACTGTGCTAGGACGGGTACCCGTGTATCAAAAACATTGAATAAGAGGGTACCTGTGATATAAAAAATCAATAGCAAAGAGGTGGCCCGTTTCGCTGCAAAACCGAAAGTAGGGTGTTTTTATTAATTTTACATTTATTTTTTACTAATAACTGCTATTTTCTCGAAGATTATGTATAAATGAACATATGTAGTATGTATGATGCATATATAATCAAGCCACTGGTTCATTTCAGCCCGAAAATAATGTCGAGGTGATGGGCGAGACAAGACATGTCCATTTTATGTAGCTTATTGTGGGGTTGCAATAATTGAAAATGGACACACGACAATAAACACTCGAAGATAAAACATTCTAGTGTTCCGTGGTATACATATTTTCCACATGACAAACCTCTTTGTGTCATTAGAAGGAACATTAGCTTGATTGTTATCCATCGCTGGTTTGTTTTTAGCAAAGCATAGCCTGTGCATGTGCAGAGAGGGTACATTTGAGTAGATTTCGCAAGGAGGGTACCGATATGAATATGCACCGTGAACTTGAAATACTAGTGAGTAAGCCACGAGCTTTATTTGATCTTTTTGACCGCAGTTATTTGATGCACATTATGAATTACTTAAAACCTGTATTTGCCTTAATTTAAAGGTAGCTTTGTGCTTCTCTTATCTCATCTTTTCGTTAAACATGGTCTTTTAAACATCAACCGGCAAAACCTTGAAGCAATATTACCAAATCAAAAAGAAGATTATACAGTTGTGTATCTTATGATTTATTTACACAGATGTGTAATCTAATATTTTTTATCTACTTCTGTTATTTTGCATAATTCGTAATACTTACTGAAAACGTACCATCAAATATAGGACTTATTTTTAGAAATGAAAACTGATTTTCAATTATTCATCGAAATATCAGAAGCACGGGGATGGAACCCCATATGGATCTCAAAATTGAGCATCGGTAAATAATATAATATCATGTGAATTTCCGCTGATCCAGAAGTGCGCTTTAACTCGATATGTGAAGGAGAAAATAAGTCAATGACAGGGTAAGTTTCAAAGTTTGAAATATTTGTATAATTTAGGTAGGCCTTAACTCGACATATTGAAATAATATAGTCACCAACTCCAAGAATAAAATTGCTATTTGTTTACATGTCCTAGTGTATTTAAGATCGGAACACCGTATCTGTTCCAAAAATTACAAAACTGGTATCATTTTGGAATGATTCAAAAGTTAAAACCGTTATACCTGATCAAATCCGAATAATCCAAAAAGATAATTAAGAAATTTAAATAACAATATCTATAAAGCAAGCTATTCAGGTGAAGAATAATCGTTTCAAATGTTACTACTGTATCACTTTAAGTCACTATTGTAACAAAAATATAGAAAATAAAATACTTTTTAATTATGTATCTTCCATAATGTAAATCATTATTCCTTTTTACTTGAACACATTTATTATGTAAATGAATATGTCTTAAATATTTTTTTAAAACATTCTTTAAAATTATAGAATAATTATTTCAAATGTATCAACTGTATTTTATTTGGTCATTAATGGACCAAAAACAGATGTTAGAGAAGTGACTGTAACAGGAGTGACATATTTAGACTTTATCTTATTAAAAGTAATAAAAATAGATCCTTGGTACATATGAGTCTTAATTAGTGCCTTTAGTAATACATTTTGCAGAATTCCATGAGTACTGTAGGTTCACAGTATTTACTATTGAAATATTTTACCTGTTACATCTTTGATGGTTATAAAAATTATGTAAGAACTTACCAACAGAAGAATGTGATTTCCAAAAAACTTCAAGAAAAAAATCCACCACGGCACCTCATGTTCTTCTGCAGAATGAATACTCTTCAAACTTGGGGCTTTATTTCCTCCACAATGAATAGGGATCAGTCATAACTTTAACTGATTATGTTTATGTTACATGAGTGTCATAATCTTCAGGGACAGATTTCAAACTTGAGAAAATGTTATTAGAATTGTAGAAGATATTGGTTATATAGCACTTATCACTTAGTTTAGCTGATAAGGTAAACTACGTACATGTAAATGTAGAATGGTCTATTTATTTGCAAGGTTTCCATACTGTTATTTTACTAATACTATAAGGACATGTTGCTATTTTACCAGGGACAGCACTAATTGGCTAAAATAAGCACTTCTGGTACAATATTGAAGATATTTCACACTATTAAAAATCAAAAAACTGTTACACATTTGTAGTTAGTCCTAAATTTTTTTTGCAAAGACTCTTTAATATGCAAAATTATTGCCCAAGGACAGAAAATGTTGCGACAATATAAAATGACTCATATAATTATCAGTCGATTATTATTATCCAAACCCTCTTACATCTCTACGTCGCCAGAAAACATGCAATATCTTGCCAATCTTTTTATTAACATACCAAACCATTTAATATAATTAAGTATAATTTACCTATTTCCTCTTCCACCCGTCAGAATGTTTGCGGAATTCATACAATAAAATAAAGTTAATAAACTACATACACATTTTGCAAGTATGTTTTAGGGGTCCATCCTTCTACATCCAATGCAGCCGTTTTTGGACGAATTGGGCAGATTTTCTTTCGCATAACTATGTAAACAAAGAGCATTAGAAAATTTCATTAAATTATAAATATACTTAATAACCAAACTTCCCTGATGTACAGTGTTATGAATTTATGATAGCTCAATTAACTTTGAAAGAAACAATATAAATACTACACGATCACGTGTTTGGTGAAAATCTATATGAAATATATAAGAAAGTCTTGGATATGGATTTTTGTATAATAATTAAAACATAAACCTGTTCTCAATAGTAATGTTTACTAAAAGAGTTAAAGATTAATATGATCAGGAATGGAATGACCTAGTATGAAACCAAGTTGAACCTAAATTGAACTATTATAAATTATTCAAAACAGATTTCAAAATCTTAATATACATTGTTGATATTGAGAATCCCAAAGAAAACAGTTGTAAAAATTCAGATTACGTTTTCATTATATAACAGAAAAGAACATATGTATTATTAATTTTAGAAATGAGCCAAGATGACTCCTATTCTATTGTATGATGATAATTAAAAAGAGAAGTTGGTAGATTTAATAATATACCTAGCTCTAAACGCAAATGAAAAATGTGTCATCAAAATGTATGTGAATCAGAATATATATTTTTTACTTTTATGTCCAAAGTACAACGAACTGCACATAAAATTATATTAGATAAACTTTGCCTAGTATAAAT